GTGGCTTCAACATGGAGAGACCCAACTCACCTGAATCTGAAGCAGGCATGGCCCCCGGGAGCAGTGGGGAATCCTGGGAAGGAACTACGCAGACATCCCTAAATGCACACCCACAGCGCCAGCGCTTCAGGCATTCCTCCTTCCGAGAGGGTGAGGGACCCAGAGAGGTTTGCAGCCGCCTCCACTCTCTCTGCCGCCAGTGGCTGAAGCCAGAGCAACACACCAAGGCGGAGATGCTGGACCTGGTGATCCTGGAGCAGTTCCTGAGCATCCTGCCCCCAGAGATGGGGAGCTGGGTCCGAGAGTGTGGGGCAGAGACCTCTTCCCAGGCGGTGGCCCTGGCGGAAGGCTTCCTCCTGAGTCGGGCAGAGGATGAGAAGCAGGAAGGACAGGTGAGAGCATTGCCTCTTGGGTTCACTCACCTTGGGACTGAAGGATAAACGTACATCCTGCCTTCCTTCCAAGATGGGACCGATGTGAGGGAGAAGCTGGACTCTGTTCCCTTGGCCTCTTTTCCCACCTGCTCTGCCCCTCCTGCTCTTACTTCCATATCCACTGTAAAGTTACTTGCATCTCAGGTCAGATTTGTTGATCCCAGTTATCACATTGAAATTGATGGGAGGTGGAATATGGCCAATTTCAGATTGCAGTTTCTGCACATTTTGGGGGAAAATCCTTTTCTATTCTTTCTCTGTTCTGTTTATGGAATTCTGTTTTTTTCAGGCCCAATATAACTACATTAAAGTCCACCCTGATCTCTCTGAATCAGAGAAATCTCACTCAGACACCACCCAGAGCCTCCAGCGAAAGGAGTTCAAGCAGGAAGGAGATGAGGCTGAAGCCTTGCAGGGTAAGAAGGAACCCTTCTGGTAGTTTGGTGCTTTATGCCAGTGAACATTCCCCTTCACACATTCACAATCAGTTTGAGCTTGAGAACATGGACATGCAGGATCGTTTGGCCTTGGAGACAGACAACAAACAATATATTTAGTCAATTGCAATACCAAGCCCAGTACTAGTTTCACTCCAACCTATTCACTGCACTGGTTGAGATAAAAATTCCTAAACTCGAAAATGTTACCTATTCCTGGGCTGGAGAATGCTCCTGTGTTCATTTCTCATAGGCTTCTTTTTAGGACTGTAATTGCCACCTCTGAGACATATCTATGTGATCAGCTTTCCACACCTTATTCTCTCTCCTAGGTGCTGAAATGATGTTGTTGGCAAATCCGCAGTGGTTTATTCCCCTTTGTGATGGAGGGGAACTGAATCAGGTAAGCAGAAGGATTCCTGGGAGAGGAGGACGGGGGCTGCCTGGGGGTCATTTCTTCCAGGCTTAATCATCAAACATCTCTTGAAACAGAAAAGATTGAATGTGAATTTCTTAAAAGTGAGATACAGAAGGCACAATTTTAAACAGTGCCAACAAGGAGGAAAATAAAAGAAATCTAAAGAAACTAGAATAAATGTCTAAAGATCTTGCAGGTGAGCTAAAATTTCAAAGAAATGTGTACAAGAAGAGTTCAAACAACTAACCAGCATAAGTTGGGAAAAGGCCTAACAAGTTACAGCAGAAAATGAGCTCAGGCTTGCCAGAGAGGTTGAAAAAAATAAAAGGGGCTTCTTTGGTTTTGTCAGTAGAAGAAGGAAAGAAGAGCAAACATAGGGTTGGCTCAACCATCTCTCTTCCTGAGCTAGCCGGGGTTGCTCTCGGGGTTGGCCTTGGTCTCTCCGTGGCTAATAGTGCCTGGGAGACTTCAACATCCATGCTGGGACTGCCCTGTTAGGAGTGGCTCAGGACTTCATGGCCTCCATTACAACCATGGGAAGTCATGGTGATCTTTCTGCTTTGGTGAGACCTCACCTGAAATAACACTATGTCCCATTCTGGGCAACACAATATAAGCTGGAACATGTTGAGATTCCATTTTTGATTTTAAATATCATTTGAGAAATATTTGTGACTGTGGCAAACCGGACGTCTCCACAAGGCTTAAACTATGGCATGGAGGCCTTAGCCCTTTCACTTTCAATCAAGCAAGAGGAATGAAAATCTCATTTAAAAAGTTTATTATAATTATTTTTCTTGATAGCCCTTATATGACAAGGAAATGTTTTCTTTTTCCACCAGGGCCCAATCGCCTTTGAAGACGTGTCTGCCCATTTCTCCCCGGAGGAGTGGGTTCTCCTGAGTCCTGACCAGAAAGTCTTGCACATGCAAGTAATGGAGGAGATTCATGGGATTGTGGACTCTCTTGGTAAGGCTCCCCCATTGGTGGGGATTTCTATTTCAATATGAAGGATCCCAATCAGCAGCTCCGTAGTGGGAGCAGTATCCTAAATCACAAACTCTGAGAGTTCCCTTCTTTTTCTTTCTCTCCCCCTCTCTTCTTTCTCTTGACTTGGTGCCTGAGTCACAACGAGGTTGGCACCAATTCGGACTCCAGTGGGAAGACCTCCATAACTGGAGACAAGTCCAAGTCCTCTTCATCCTGGAAAGAAGTGACAAGTGGAGTGCCGCAGGGTTCCGTCCTGGGCCCGGTCCTGTTCAACATCTTTATTAATGACTTAGATGAAGGGCTAGAAGGCATGATCATCAAGTTTTCAGACGACACCAAATTGGGAGGGATAGCCAATAGTCCAGAGGACAGGAGCAGGATTCAAAACGATCTTGACAGATTAGAGAGATGGGCCAAAACTAACAAAATGAAGTTCAACAGTGACAAATGCAAGATACTCCACTTTGGCAGGAAAAACAAATGCAAAGATACAGAATGGGGGACGCCTGGCTTGGAGCAGTACGTGTGAAAAAGATCTTGGAGTCCTCGTGGACAACAAGTTAAACATGAGCCAACAATGTGATGTGGCGGCAAAAAAAGCCAATGGGATTTTTGCCTGCATCAATAGGAGCATAGTGTCTAGATCTAGGGAAGTAATGCTACCCCTCTATTCTGCTTTGGTTAGACCACACCTGGAATATTGTGTTCAATTCTGGGCACCACAGTTCAAGAGAGATATTGACAAGCTGGAATGTGTCCAGAGGAGGGCGACTAAAATGATCAAGGGTCTGGAGAACAAGCCCTATGAGGAGCGGCTTAAGGAGCTGGGCATGTTTAGCCTGCAGAAGAGAAGGCTGAGAGGAGATATGATAGCCATGTATAAATATGTGAGAGGAAGCCACAGGGAGGAGGGAGCAAGCTTGTTTTCTGCTTCCCTGGAGATTAGGACAAGGAACAATGGCTTCAAACTACAAGAGAGGAGATTCCATCTGAACATGAGGAAGAACTTCTTGACTGTGAGAGCCGTTCAGCAGTGGAACTCTCTGCCCCGGAGTGTGGTGGAGGCTCCTTCTTTGGAAGCTTTTAAACAGAGGCTGGATGGCCATCTGTCAGGGGTGATTTGAATGCAATATTCCTGCTTCTTGGCATAATGGGGTTGGACTGGATGGCCCATGAGGTCTCTTCCAACTCTTTGATTCTATGATTCTATAAGTACACTATAATCCCTCACAAGCAACTGGGCCCCTGGAAAACCTCTCAAGAGTGATCACCCCAGATCATTCAAACCCTCTCTCTCTCTATCTCTGTGAGTGTGAGAGAGAGAGAGAGAGGCAGGAAGGAGGCATGGAGGAAGGGAGCAAATATTCAAAAAAGTAGCCTAGCAAACCTCTCCTGCTTTCAGGCCCACATTTCCAGCCCCCTGGTTTTGCAACCTGTGTGCCCTTGGATGGCTTGGGAAGCCACTGCCTGCCTGAAGCCAAAAGGAGTCTGGAAAATGATGGGAAAGAGTGGTTTTGCAAAAGCTGACTTCCGCTTGATGTCTCCTGACATGCTTCTTCCCAGTAACCCGAGCTCCCTGGAAATCTATTAGGATCCATCGCCCAGATTGATTGGCTGGAGAGAGGGTCCGGAGAACACTTCTCATGGATTCACATACACAGACGCAGCTATATATCTTTATATCGGGGTCATATTCAGACTTGTTTTTCCTCCCAGCCAGGCAGTCTAGCCTCTGCATGTCTGAAGGCCAGGCTCTCTTTGTATGCTGCTTATCCCAGCACACAAAGTGTCCTTAGCCTCAGCCACTTGCACGATGGTGACCTGAAGTTCAACAGGGACAAATGCAAGATACTCCACTTTGGCAAAAAACGAAATGCAAAGATACAGAATGGGGGACAATGCCTGGCTCGAGAGCAGTACGTGTGAAAAAGATCTTGGAGTCCTCGTGGACAACAAGTTAAACATGAGCCAACAATGTGATGTGGCGGCAAAAAAAGCCAATGGGATTTTTGCCTGCATCAAGAGGAGCCTAGTGTCTAGATCTAGGGAAGTCATGCTACCCCTCTATTCCGCTTTGGTTAGACCACACCTGGAATATTGTGTCCAATTCTGGGCACCACAATTCAAGAGAGATATTGACAAGCTGGAATGTGTCCAGAGGAGGGCGACTCAAATGATCAAGGGTCTGGAGAACAAGCCCTACGAGGAGCGGCAACATAATGTGTTCTATGTTCTGTGCTTGTGAATGATGGGAGAGAGAACTGGAGGTTGTGGGAGAGAAAGGAAAAGAAGGGAATGATTGTGAAATGGGTGGTAGCAAGGGAAAGGTTTAGCTAGAGAAAAAGGCAAGGATGTGAATGCAAAGGGAAAAGTGAGAAGGAGGCAGAATAAAAAAAACATGCTGGGCTGAGGAACAGGTATGCTCTGGAACATATGTTACTCAGCTCGCCCTTAGAGGCGCCAGGCAGTCAAACAGTCTCAGTCCCTAGTGAACAAGGGCTGGAGAGAGGACAGTGTTTATATCATAGACTCTTAATCACTCATGCTGAGGAATTATTGTTTCTGTCTTTTTTTCTTCGCAGCAGATAACTGGAAGAAGAGTAATGTATATACCAAACACAGGAAGCATTTGGGACTCAATGGGGGACTTCCTAGACACCAGCAAAGGCAACATGAAGACGGAGGATCTGCCAGAGAAAAGGCATACAAATGCAGTGTATATGGAGAGAAGCAATACCAATGCCAGGAGTGTGGGGAATGTTTTGCTCAGAATTCACAATTGTTGTGGCACAAAACACTCCACACAGGAGAGAAGCCTTACCAATGCCAGGAGTGTGGGAAATATTTTGCTGATAGTTTACGCTTGGTGAGGCACAAAAGACTCCACACAGGAGAGAAGCCATACCAGTGCCAGGAGTGTGGGAAATGTTTTGCTGAGAGTTCAGCCTTGGTGAACCACAAAAGAGTCCACACAGGAGAGAAGCCATACCAATGCCAGGAGTGTGGGAAATGTTTTTCTCAGAGTTCAGGCTTGGTGAGCCACAATAGACTCCACACAGGAGAGAAACCATACCAATGCCAGGAGTGTGGGAAATGTTTTGCTTTCAGTTCAGCCTTGGTGAGCCACAATAGACTCCACACAGGAGAGAAGCCATACCAATGCCAGGAGTGTGGGAAATGTTTTGCTGATAGTTCAGGCTTGGTGAGGCACAGAAGACTCCACACAGGGGAGAAGCCGTACCAATGCCAGGAGTGTGGGAAATGTTTTGCTAGGAGTCCAGCCTTGGTGAGCCACAAAAGACTCCACACAGGAGAGAAGCCATACCAATGCCAGCAGTGCGGGAAATGTTTTGTTCAGAATTCACACTTGGTGAGGCACAAAACACTCCACACAGGAGAGAAGCCATACAAATGCAATGAATGTGGGAAATACTTTGCTTCCAGTTCAGCCTTGGTAACCCATAATAGACTCCACACAGGAGAGAAGCCATACCAATGCCAGGAGTGTGGGAAATGTTTTGCTGACAGTTCAAGCTTGGTGAGGCACAGGAGACTCCACACAGGGGAGAAGCCATTCCAGTGCCAGGAGTGTGGGAAATGTTTTGCTAGGAGTTCACACTTGGTGAGGCACAAAACACTCCACACAGGAGAGAAGCCATACCAGTGCCAGGAGTGTGGGAAATGTTTTACTCAGAGTTCATATCTTGTGAGTCACCAGAGGATTCATAAAAGAGCAAAAATATCCAAAGAGCTGGGACAAAAGTAATAAAATGAATTGCAATAGAGAAATTTCAGGTTTGGACATTCTGGTCCTGTAGACTATACATTCCACATTTTCCGATGAACATGTGTGATTCCCTTGGCTTCAAGTAGTACTTGGCTTGACTTTGGACGCATTTCTTAGACAATTTCCATTCTTGGTTTCGAACTCTGTTCAGGTATTTTGCTTTGCTTGACTTGGGACTGTTGTGGAGAACTCTTTGGCTTCTCTGGTCACGGGCATCACCATGGGACTGGACTGGCTTTCCTGTTTATCCTTTGTGGGTAAACATCCGATTTCAATGATTGACAACTGGGAAATAGAGGGAGAAAACGTGGAGGCAGTGACAGACTTTGTATTTCTAGGTGCAAAGATGACTGCAGATGCAGAGTGCAGCCAGAAATCAGGAGATGCTTACTTCTTGGGAGGAGAGCGAGGACCAATCTCGATAAATGATATATATCATTTATTTTATTATAATCTATGCAAATTTGATCTATTTTGTCCCTAGATCTTATATTAAGAGAATAATAGCTTTCCATTGAACTTCACAGAAGCCTAGGATATATATAGCGCTCCATAGTGTCGATCTCCATAGAGGAAGTTTTAGACAGTTTTGACCTATTGAACTGATATTTTAATGTCCTGCGAAGAACGACTTACATTCCAGTTTGGGCTGTTTATAATGGTTCTGTTTTATATTGTGTGCATTAATGCTGGTGTAAACCGCCTTGAGTCCGTTGGAGAAAGACCATACAGAAGCTTCCGAATTAAATAAGTTTGTCTGTAGAGTAAGAAAAACAACCGTATTTGTATAATCAACACAAGCTTCTCAATTAGTCAGTTCCAATTGCTTGATAAAATTGATTTATCAATTTTATTGATTTACGTATTTATGTGAATCTACAGCGAACCTTTTTTGGCTAAATGACCCTGCCAGAATTGGGGTGCAGATCACATTTGTGCAATATGGTGAAGTGCAGGTGGGCAGGTGAGTTCACGCAGGAGAGACAGTGCGAGCACGCACTAGCTCCTCTGCCTTCCCCAAGAGGCCTTTGCCTTCGCCTCCTCTGCTCCCGGGCCGCCAGAGCCAGGGCCGCCTCCTACTTCCGCCGGCGAGGCCTCCGACCACTGCACACATCTAGGGACTGAGCAAACTATCTTGGAAAGTATTTTAATGCTATTCCTAGTAGCAGGTTATCAGGGTTGATATTGTTGCGGAGTATATGTTGCTTTAGCACGTAAAAATCAGTTGGTGAGTGTATGTTAACTGAATAGGCAAAGCCCAAGAAACTAGCTGAGCCTGGGAGTTTTGGCAACAGTTACATTTTTAGGCTTTAGCTGTGCAGCTTTGCAGAGACAGATTTGATTCTGGGTTACGGGAAGGAGGTCTCCCACATGGACACTTGAGGACCACTTGAATTCTCTCTCTTGGACTGACTGATTACCTTTAATGTTCAGTGGGGCTGGGCAGCAAATAATATATATATCTGACTATCTTATAATAATATATCTGACTATCCTATGAGTACAGAATTTTTCCTTCATGATTCTATTATGATATTATAATTATATTATATAATATATACTATCAATTAGTCACTTCCAATTGCTTGAGAAAATTGAATTACCAGTAAAGAGATGACCGTATTTATGTGAATTAAAGGCACACCTTGTTTGGCTAAATGACCCTGCCAGAATTGGGGTGTGGATCACTTTTGTGCAATATGGTAAAGTGCAGGTGGTTAGGTGAGTTCACACAGGAGAGGCAGTGCGAGCAGGCACTAGCTCCCCTGCCTTCCCCAAGAGGCCTTTGCCTTCGCCTCCTCTGCTCATGGTTCCTGCCAGAGCCAGGGCCGCCTCCTACTTCCGCCGGCGAGGCCTCCGTCCACTGCACACATCTAGGGACTGAGCAAACTATCTTGAAAAAATATTAAAATGTTATTCCTAGTAGCAGGTTATCAAGGGCGATATTGTGGGGTACATTTTGCTTTAGCACGTAAAAATGAGTTGGTGAGTGTATGTTACCTGAATAGGAAAAGCCCAAGAAGCTAGCTGAGCCTGGGAGTTTTGGCAACAGTTACATTTTTAGGCTTTAGCGGTGCAGGAGCTTTGCAGAGATAGATTTGATTCTGGGTTGCGGGAAGGAGGTCTCCCACATGGACAATTTTTATTTATTTATTTATTTATTTATTATTTGAACTTATTTGCCGCCACTCCCCTGGGGCTCGGACTGGATTCCAAGAACAGGCTAAAATTGAACACAATTTAAAAACAGCAATTAAAGGCCCATCGAAACAGATATGCCTTACATGCCCTGCGGAAAGCTGATAAGTCCTGCAAGGCACGGACCTCAGGTGGCACAGTATTCCAGAGTGATGGTGCCACTGCTGTAAAGGCTCTGCGTCTGGTTGCTGTTAGACACTGGGAATTTCCAACAAATCTTGGTCTTCAGAACGGAGGGATCTCTGGGGTTGGTAGGGGGTGAGGCGGTCCCTCAGGTACATCGGCCCCAGACCATGCAAGGCCATAAAGGTGAGTTCCATCACTTTGAAAGTGATCCGGTGCTCAATTGGTAACCAATGCAGTAACCACTTGAGGACCTTTTGAATTCTCTCTCTTGGACTGACTACCTTTAATGTTCAGTGGGGCTGGGCAGCAAAGGTTTGACAGGGAAATAATATATCTGACTATCCTATGAGTACAGAATTGTTCTTCCATGACTCTCTCTCTGCCTTCATCTTCAGTCCTTTGTTTCCAGGGCTTTGGAGAGATGCTCTTTCCCCCTCCTTCCAGTGTAACTCTGGGCAAGGAAGGGTTAAGGGGAGAGAGTGTGGTTCCCAGAGAGGCAGGGAGGAAGTGGGCCTCCTTAGACCTGCCTTTCCTGTCCCTCTAGGAACCAAACTCTCTCCTCTTAACCCTTCTTTGCTTGGCTGGGAGAGGGGAGTTGACTCTGTCCACCTCTCCTTCCTCCTTTTCCTCCTCCTCCTCCTCCTCCCTCTTCTTTCCTTCTGTCTTCCTTCTTCTCCTCCTTCTGGTGACCCTTCTTCCAATTCCTTCTCCAAAGGGCCAAAGAGGGGCTGAAGCCCAACACACCTGGAGGCAGGGCTGAAGTAGGCCCAGGCCTGCACTAACCTGGGGTTGGTAGTCATCTGATTCTCCACCCAGGGGATCCTTGGGAGGAAAGAGAGAGAGGCCCAGGGCTTTCCCCTTCCAACCCACTCACCGGCCTCTTTTTCCCCTTAAGTTTTTATTACCCACTAGCTGTCCCCTGCCACGCATTGCTGTGGCCAACCTTCCATCCCTCTTTCTCTCCTTCTTTCCTTCCTTCCTTCACTCTGTTTCCTTCCTTCCTTCCCTTTTCTTTTTTCCTTCTCACCTTCCTTCTCTACCTCTTTCCTTCTTTCCCCCTTTTTCTTAACTTCTTTCTCTCCTTCCTTCCTTCGCTCTTTCTTTCTTTCTTTCTCTCTTTCCATCCCTCTTTCTCTCCTTTCCTTCCTTCCTTTGCTCTGTTTCTTTACTTCCTTCCCTTTTCTTTTTTCCTTCTCACCTTCCTTCTCTACCTCTTTCCTTCTTTCCCCCTTTTTCTTAACTTCTTCTTTCTCTCCTTCCTTCCTTCGCTCTTTCTTTCTTTCTTTCTTTCTTTCTCTCTTTCTCCCCTCCCTTCCCTTTTTCTGTATCGTCATTTAGCTTTTCGTCATTTAGATTTTTTGGGTTTTTAAGTACTTTCCGCTGGTTTATGGGGTGGGATGGCGTGGTTGTGAGTGATGGTCACTCATTGGTCTGTTAGGGGTATAATGTCCAAATTTGGTGTCAATTTGTCCAATGGTTTTTGAGTTATGTTAATCCCAAAAATGAACATTAGATCTTGATTTATATAGATTTATCGTATACTACATTATTGTAATTATTATTTATTATTTACAATTTATTTTTATTATTTTTATTTATATAGATTATTATATCGAATATTGTATTCTACATCATTATTTATTTATTTATTTATTGTTCGAACTTATATGCCGCCACTTTCCTGGGGCGTATTTGGAGCCCAATGGATGATTGGCCTTTATTATTTACTTATGTAAATAAGTAAGAGAATGGGTTTCACGCGACTTACAAGAATGACTAAAATCTAACACAATTGAAAAACAATTTAAAACAATTTTAAAACAGCAATATCAAACATTAAAAGCCTGTCGAAACAGGTATGTCTTACATGCCCTGCGGAAAGCTGAAGTCCCGCAAGGCACGGACTTCAGGTGGCAGAGTATTCCAGAGTGATGGTGCCACTGCTGTGAAGGCTCTGCGTCTGGTTGCTGTTAGACGCAAGGTCTTGACACTGGGGACTTCCAATAGATCTTGGTCCTCAGAACGGAGGGATCTCTGGGGTTGGTAGGGGGTGAGGCGGTCCCTCAGGTACATCGGCCCCAGACCATGCAAGGCCTTAAAGGTGAGTACCATCACTTTGAAAGTGATCCAGTGCTCAATTGGTGACCAGTGCAGCTGTAGTAAGATTGGGGTTATATGTCATCTCATCGGAATTCCCGCAAGAAGCCGAGCAGCTGCATTTTGTACCAACTTGAGCTTCCAGATCACCGACAGGGAGGAGGGAGCAAGCTTGTTTTCTGCTTCCTTGGAGACTAGGACCCGGAACAATGCCTTCAAACTACAAGAGAGGAGATTCCATCTGAACACGAGGAAGAACTTCCTGACTGTGAGAGCCATTCAGCAGTGGAACTCTCTGCCCCAGAGTGTAGTGGAGGCTCCTTCTTTGGAAGCTTTTAAACAGAGGCTGGATGGCCATCTGTCAGGGGTGATTTGAATGCAATATTCCTGCTTCTTGGCAGAATGGGGTTGGACTGGATGGCCCATGAGGTCTCTTCCAACTCTATGATTCTATGGTTCTATGACAGAGGAAGGCCAATGTAGAGGACGTTACAGTAGTCCAGTCTTGAGATGACCATGGCCTGGATCACCGTAGCTAGGTCATCCCTGGACAGGGAGGGGACCAGCCGTCTAGCCTGCCGCAGATGAAAGAAGGCGGTTCTGCTAACGGAGGAGACCTGGGCTTCCATCGTCAGCAGAGGGTCCAAAAGGACTCCCAGACTCTTTACCAATGATGACGGGCGTAGCGCCTCGCCATCCAGGGTAGGCAGCTGGATGTCCCCACTGCCTGGTTGACCCAGCCCTAGGATCTCCATCTTTGCTGGATTCACCCTCAACCTGCTGGCACGCAGCCATCCAGTAACGGCCTCGAGGCACTGATGGAAACAATCGGGTACAGAGTCCGGTCTGCCCTCCATCTTCAGCACCAGCTGAGTGTCATCGGCGTACTGGTAACACTCAAGCCCAAAACCTCGAACCAGCTGAGCAAGTGGTTGCATATAGATGTTAAACAACAGAGGGGAGAGAATGGCCCCCCGAGGAACCCCACAAGATAGAGGGGACCTCTCAGAGAACAGGCCTCCCCTCTCCACTCGCTGTCCACGGTTGTGAAGAAAGGAGGACAGCCAATTTAAGGCTCCAGCAACAGCAAGGCGGTGGGTCAAAAGATTGTGGTCGACTGTGTCAAATGCTGCTGTGAGATCCAATAACACAAGCAGCGCCGACCCGCCCTGGTCAAGCTGGCATCGAAGGTGATCCGTGATGGAGACAAGCACAGTCTCTGTCCCATGCCCCGCACGGAAGCCGGACTGGAAGGGATCTAGTCCAGCTGTGTCGTTTAGGAATTGCTGCAACTGCTCCGCTGCTGCCCTCTCAATCACCTTGCCCAGGAACGAGAGATTCGAAACTGGGCGGTAACTGGAGGGAACCGAAAGATCTAAGTCTGGTTTCTTCAGCAGGGGAGAGACCACCGCCTCTTTTAAACCCTCTGGAAAAACTCCTTGCTCAAGGGAGCTGTTTATGATCTTCACCAGAGGGTCACGCAATCCCTCCAAGCAGGATTTCACCAACCAAGAGGGACATGGATTATGTATTATTAGACATAAAATATTTAATTTTACACTAAGTAAAGGTAAAGATTTTCCCTTGACATTAAGTCTATTAATATTATAATTATTATTATTATACAAACCCAGAACTAAGAGTTCCAGTTGAGGAGTAAAAGGCCCTTTCCTGACTGAACTTTGGACTAAGCACCACACCCAAGATTCGCGCCACCAGGTCGAGAGTCTCATTCCCCTCTCAGCCTTCTCTTCTTCAGGCTAAACATGCCCAGCTCCTTAAGCCGCTCCTCATAGGGCTTGTTCTCCAGACCCTTGATCATTTTAGTCGCCCTCCTCTGGACACATACTCCAGCTTGTCAACATCTCTCTTGAATTGTGGTGCCCAGAATTGGACACAATATTCCAGGTGTGGTCCAACCAAAGCAGAATAGAGGGGTAGCATGACTTCCCTAGATCTAGACACTATCTCCTACTGATGGCGCCTACTGCAAGCGCGAGGAGGCCCTTATAGTCGCCCGTCTCGTTAGCGACGCCTGGGAAAGGCCTCCACCGTAAGTGGGAAAGGCGCAAAAGGCATTCGCGGCCAGACAGAAAAAGAATGTTGTTCTTGTGCCACCGCGGCCTTGCCATGAGAGGAGGTATCCCAACAATAGTAATACCTTGTGGGTTTGAAAGGACTCCAACTCCCGGTGTGCACCATGGCAGAAGAGGGCCACTTTTGGGCGATGGCAGAAGAGGGCCGCTTTTGGTGCCGCATGTTTGCATGCCGTCCTTTGGTTTCCTTGGCCTCAGAAGGGTCTGGGATGGGGGGAATTGGGGGTAATTTGCATATGCTAATGAACAGTGAGGGAGGATGGCCGTGGGTGCCTCTCGTGCTGGCTGTGCTCGCGTGATGGGGGGAAGAGAATGGGTTTGTACGCAGGCGCAGTGTTCTCTTTTTTCTTTGTAAAAATTTAAAGGTCTTTTTGTTTTTTGGGAGGAATTTTTTTGAGTGCAGGACATAGATTGCCTTGAATGGTGTCTTGTGCCCAAATTTGGTGTCAATTCCCCCAGTGGTTTTTGAGTTCTGATGGTATCACAAACAAACATTACATTTTTATTTATATAGATTTCAAAGGAAAATATGTTTTTTCACACAAAGGAAAAAAGGAGAACATAGAAGGGGAGGAGGAGGGTGGCAGAGCCCCGAACAGGATATTAGGACTATATAAATATCTGCTGTGTCACCGAGAAAAGGGATGGAGCAGGGAAGAGAAGCCTTAGATTTACTCTCCAAAAAAAAAAAGCCTCCCGAAGCCTGTTGTCTAATTCTACTTTTCTTTCACAGAGGAAATCTGATTGTGGGCTGAGAATTTTGGAGTTGAGCCTGTTCAGTTGGGAGAAGAGCCTGGAAGAGCGTCTTGGACCTACTTTGCTTCTTCATCAAAGAGTGTTTCCAGCATGGAGAGACCCAACTCACCTGGACCTGAAGCAGGACTTGGGAGCAGTGGAGTATCCTGGAGTAAAATTACACAGAAATTCCTGCGTGTAGACCTTTATAGCTCAGACACACAGTGCCAGCGCTTCAGGCAGTCCTCCTACGGAGAGAGCGAGGGACCCAGAAAGGTTTGCAGCTGCCTCCATGATCTCTGCCGCCAGTGGCTGAAGCCAGAGCAACACACCAAGGCGGAGATGATGGACCTGGAGCAGTTCCTGAGCATCCTGCCCCCAGAGATAGGGAGCTGGTTCCGAGAGTGTGGGGCAGAGAGCTGTTCCCAGGCGGTGGCCCTGGCGGAAGGCTTCCTCCTGAGTCGGGCAGAGGACGAGAAGCAGGAAGGACAGGTGAGAGCATTGCCTCTTGGGTTCCCTCACCTTGGACTGATGGAGAGATTGAACATACATCCTGCCTTCCTTCCAAGATGGGACTGATGTGAGGAGAAGCCAGACTCTGCTCTCTCGGCCTCTTTCCCCCCCCCCCGCTCTGTCCCTCCTGCTCTCACCTCCATATCCACTGGAAGCTCAGTTGCTGCTCTACTCCAATTTGAAAATGATGGAAGGTGGAATGTTGCCAAATTCAGAATGCAGTTTCTACACATTTGGGGATATCCTACTTCCAACAGATCTCACTACCTCTGAGGATGCTTGCCATAGATGCAGGCGAAACATCAGGAGAAATGCCTCTAGAACATGGCCCTATAGCCCGAAAAAACCTACAAGAACCTAGTGATTCCAGCCATGAAAGCCTTCGACAATATCTTGGAACTGCTTGTTTCAGCTGACCACTACCTCTGAGGATGCTTGCCATAGATGCAGGCGAAACGTCAGGAGAAATGCCTCTAGAACATGGCCCTATAGCCCGAAAAAACCCACAAGAACCTACTTTCTCTATCCTACTTATGGATGTCTCTGTCTTCTTTCAGGCCCAAAATAACTGCATAGACGTCCAGCCTGATGTCCCTGCATCAGAGGAATCTCACTCAGGCCCCATCCAAAGCCTCCAGCAGAAGGAGCTCAAGCAGGAAGGAGATGGACCTGCAGCCTTGGAGGGTGAGAAGGAACCCTTCTGGGAGTGTTGGTGTTCTAGGCCAGTGTAAATTCCCCTTCAGGGGATTGTAGCACATCCACCTTTGGTTTGAGCTAGAGAAGGTGGGCATGCAGGATCATTTGGCCTTGAGATGAGTATACAGGTATGGAATGGATCAAAAGTGGGGAAACCAATGTCAATATTGTTCAGAGATAGGAAAAGCTGAGCTCATGAAGTTATAATGGAAATTGTATGGATAGAGTGAATAGAACTAAGCTAAATGAGTGGATAATATAGAAGGGAGGAAGAGTGAGAAATAGGAAGAGGTTGGGGAAATGTTGTAGATGAATGACGAGTATGGAATAAATATACAAAATCTGCTCATATAATGTATTATTATTATTATTATTATTATTATTATTATTATTATTATTAAAAGATGAGTGTATAGACAACAAAGAATAACTGTAGTCAATTGCAATACCAAGCCCAGGACTAGTTTCAATCCAACCTACTCACAGCACTGGTTGAGATAAAAAGTCCTAATCTCCAAAATGTTACCTATTCCTGGGCTGGAGAATGCTCCTGGGTTCATAGGGTCATTTCCTCATAGATTTCTTTATAGGACAGTAATTCTCTCCTCTGAGACATGCTTATGTGACCAGCTTTCCACCCCTTGCTCTCTCTCTCTCTCTCTCTCCCAGGGACTGGAATGATGCTATGGCTGAATCCACAGTCATTTCTTCCCTTTTGTGATGGAGTGGAAGTGAATCAGGTAAGCAGAAGGATTCCTGGGAGAGGAGGAAAGGACCTGCTTGGGGGTCATTGGTCCCGGGCTCAGTCATCAACCATCTGTTGAAACAAAAAGGACTGAATGGGAGTTTCTTAAAAGTGAGATACTGAAGGTGCAATTGCAAACAGTGCTCACAAGGAGAAGAAAAAAATAGGAGAAATCTAAAGAAACCATGAAAAAATGCCTAAAGATCTTCCAGGTGAGGTAAGATTTAAAAGGGATGTGTAAAAGAAATGGAAAGAGGGCCGGGGAGGGCCGGGAATCCCCAACGAAGAGCCCAAATGACTAACCAGCATAACAACAACAACAACACTTTGTACCCCGCTACCATCTCCCCAAGGGACTTTGTGCGGCTTACATGAGGCCGAGCCCAAATACAACAATACAAGCAATAAACAACAATACAAGCAATTAAAATAAAAACATAAACAATAAAATATACAACATTATCAATAAGACAACACACAATTAAAAACTGGGAAGGCCAAATGTAAAATTAAAATTAGAAGTAATGCTGGGACATGAACGAAAAGGTGATAGTGGTGTTTGTGGAAGGGCATACGAGCAGACCTAAAGAAATGTAAAGTACTTGGAGGACAAAGTGCTATGGGATCATTATTCCGGGAAGGCACACTGGAACATAAGGAGGGAAAAGAGCTGAGAAGCTACAGCAGAAAATGAGCTCAGGCTTGCCAGAGAGATTGAAAACAATGAAAGGGGCTTCCTTGGTTGTGTCCGTAGAAGACGGAAAAAAGAGCAAACAGTAGGGTCTTCTCAAAAGTCTCCCTTCCTGAGCTAGCCGGGGTGGTCTCGGGGTTGGCCTTGGAGTCTCAGTGGCTAATAGTGCCGGGAGACTTCAACATCCATGCTGAGACTGCCCTGTCAAGAGTGACAACCATGGGTCTGTCCCATGTCGTGTCTTGCCCTACTCGTGGTGCCGGACACACTTTGGAACTTGTTTTCTGTGCTGGATGAGGTGGTGGGGATGGTGGTGTGGGTAAGCCGGTCAGAGTTCTGTTGTCATAGACTGATCACTACCTGATCAGGTTTAGACTTGCACAGACTCCAAACCTCTGCAAGGGTGGGAGACCGATTAAGACGGTCTGTTCCAGGAGGCTTATCAATCTGGATGGATTCCTGACGGCTCTTGGAGCCTTTCCTGTCACCTTGGCAGGTGATTCTGCTGAACATCTGGAATGGGGAATTGGCCGGGGCAGTGGACACAACCCCTCTCGTGGAACAGAGCCAAAGCAGCCCCTTGGTTTTCCACGGAGTTGGAGGAGATGAAACAAGAGAGACAGAGACTAGAGCAGTGGTTCTCAACCTTCCTAATGCCGCGACCCCTTAGTACAGCTCCCCACGTTGTGGTGACGTCCAACCATAACATTTTCATTGCTACTTCGTAACTGTAATTTTGCTACTGTTATGAATCGTAATGTAAATATCTCATATTTTCAAATCCCAAATACCCAATATGCCCAAATTTGAATACTGGTGGGGTTGGGGGGGGGGGATTGATTTTGTTATTTGGGAGCTGTAGTGGCTGGGATTTATAGTTCACCTACAATCAAAGAGCATTCTGAACACCACCAATGATGAAATTGAACCAAACTTAGCACACAGAACTCCCATGGCCAAGAGAAAATACTGGGAGGATCTGGTGGACATTGACCTTGAATGTTTGGAGTTGTAGTTCACCTACATCCAAAGAGCACTGTGGACTCAAACAATGATGGATCTGAACCAAACTTGGCACGAATACTCAATATGCTGAAATGTGAACACTGGAGGAGTTTGAGAAAAATAGACCTTGACATTTGGGAGTTGTAGTTGCTGGGATTTATAGTTCACCTACAATGAAATAACATTCTGAACCCCACCAACGATGGAACTGGACCAAACCTTCCACACAGAACCCATGACCAACAGAAAATACTATGTTTTCTGATGGTCTTTGGTGACCCCTCTGACACCTCCTCGCGACCCCAACAGGGGTCCCGACCCCCAGGTTGAGAAACACTAGACTAGAGTGACGTTGATGTAGAGCTTAAAAACGGATCTGACCAAGCCAACAATGTGATGCAGCTGCTTGAAAGCCTGCATCGAAAGGGATGTGGGATTTTGGGCTGCATCGAAAGGAATGTAGTGCCTACATTAAGGGAAGTCACGGTGACCTTCTTTCTACTTTGGTGGGACCTCACCTGGAATATCACTGTGTCGGATTCTGGGCAATACGATAAAAGCTGGGACATGTCCAGATTCCATTTCTGATTCTAAATATCAGTTGAGAAATGGTTCTTAATTGTGATCAACCGGATGTCTCTACAAGGCTTAAACTATGGCACGGAGGCCTTAACCCTTTCACTTTCAAAAAAAAAAAAAACCCAACAGGAATGTAAACCTGCTTTAAAGAGTTTCTTGTAATTATTTTTCTTGATATCCCTGATGTGAGAAGGCAATGTGTTCTTTTCCCACCAGGGCCCAATCGCCTTTGAGGAGGTGGCTGTGCATTTCTCCCCGGAGGAGTGGGCTCTCCTGAGTCCTGATCAGAAAGCCTTGCACGGGCAGATCATGGAGGAGATTCATGGGATGGTGGACTCTCTTGGTAAGGCTCCCTCACTCGTGGGGATTTCTATTTCAAAATGCAGTATTATCCTAAATCATCACAATCGCTGAGAGTTCTCAAGGCAGGGCTTATGCTAGAGATATGTGACATAAGAGTAATATTGACTTGGTGCCTGAGCAACAGCAATCTTAGCACCAATTTAGACTCCAGTGGGAAGACTTCAATAGTCAAGTCCAAGCGTACCACACTTCCTCACGGCACCAGGGCCCCCTGGAAAGCCTATCAAGAGTGTTCACCCCAGATCAGTCACACCATCGCTCTCTCTCTGTATCTCTGTGAGAGTGTGTGAGAGAGATTGGCAGGGGAGGGGGTTGTGAAGCAGATTTCCAATAAGTCACCCAGCAAAGCTCTCCTGACTTCAGGCCCACATTTCCAGCCCCCCTGGTTTTGCATCCTGTGTGCCCGTGGATGGCTTGGAAAGCCACTGCGTGCCTGAAGCCAAAAGAGGTCTGGAAAATGATAGGAAAGAGTTGTGCTGCAAAAGCCGACTTGCTCTGGATGTCTGCTGACAGGCTCCTTCCCAGTAACTCGGGCTCCCTGGAAATCTGTTCAGAGTCATCGCCCAGATTGGGGAATTGGCCGTGGAGAGTGGAGCATCAAGAAGAACAAACATCCGCTGGCTTCACATACACAGACGCTGCTATACGTCTTTTTATTGGGCTCATGTTCAGCCTTGTTTTCCTCCCAGCCAGGCAGTCTAGTCTCCGGAGCCCCCGGTGGCGCAGTGGGTTAAAGCCCTGTGCCAGCAGGACTGAAGACCGACAGGTCGCAGGTTCGAATCCGGGGAGAGGCGGATGAGCTTCCTCTATCAGCTCCAGCTCCTCATGCGGGGACATGAGAGAAGCCTCCCAGAAGGATGATAAAACATCAAATCATCCGGGCATCCCCTGGGCAACGTCCTTGCAGACGGCCAATTCTCTCACAACAGGACGCTCCAGACACAACAACAAAAAAAAAAAGCATAGTCTGTCTGTAGGCCAGGCTCTCTTTGTATGCTGCTTCTCCCAGCATGCAAACTGTCCCTAGCCGCAGCCACTTGCGAGATGGTGACCTGCAACATCATGTGTTCTATGTTCTGTGCTTCTGAATGATAGCGGCTCGGGGTTTTGTGTTTACAGTCAGATTGGGAGAGAGAACTGGAGGTTGGGGGAAGAAAGGAAAAGAAGGGAATGATTGTGGAATGGGTGGTAGCAAGGGAAAGGTTTAGCTAGAGAAAAAGGGAAGGATTTGAATGTGAAGAGAAAAGGGAGAAGGAGACAGAATAAAAAAAACATGCTAGATGAGGAGCAGGTATACTCTGGAACATACGTTACTCAGCTCTCCCTTAGAGACTCCAGGCAATCAAACAGTGTCAATCCTTACTGCACAAGGGGTGGAGGGTGGATAGCGTTTATATCTTTAGAGTCCTTATCACTCACACTGAGGAATGATTGTTTCTGTTCTTCTTCTTCACAGCAGATGACTGGAAGAAGAGCAATGTATATACCAAATGTAGGAAGCATTTTGGGCTCAATGGGGGCCTTCCTAGACGCCGGCAAACCCACAGTGAAGACAGAGATTCTGCTAGAGAAAGGCCGTACAAATGCAATGTATATGGAGAGAAG